AAACATGCATGAATCTATGTGACTATTATTATCGACTGACATTTCGTTGACAGAAAGGTCTGTATCTTCATTACTGATTTCCCCTTTTGGTCGCTTGATTAAATGTTCATGCTAACTATTCTAAATTCTCAAAGATTATGATTAACCTGGTTTCTAAATAATCACAATATACTTACTTACTTACGCCTGTTACTCCTAATGGAGCATAGGCTGCCGACCAGCATTCTTCAACCCACTCTGTACTGGGCCTTCTTTTCTAGTTCTATCCAATTCTTGTTCATTTTTCTCATGTCTATCTCCATTTCCCAGCGTAATGTGTTCTTTGGTCTTCCTCCCCACAATATGAATACATGTTAATCATGTTGCAAAACTGTACACAATTAATAGTGAATTTTAATGGTGAAAATTATAGTATTGAATAACCACGTAGCAACCTGTTGTAGCCCTAACACACTTGAATCTTAAATACTTAATCGGATTTAAAAATGTGTGGTGAATTAGTATGACAGTTAAGTACTGACTTTTAAATATTTAATCGTAATATTATTCATGATATTGTATGCATTTCAATATGCCTACATTATCCCTTACCTGTTTTCAGATATTTTCACATACTGGCACGAAACGGTCTTTCATTGCACTCAAGGTTTTCAGTAATAAATTTAGCTAAGATCAGTTCGTGATTTAAACTGTAAAAATCATACACTTGCATATTGTTTATACTATTTTCATGCATGTGCACTTGTTAATGATTTACAGTTAACTTTAAACATATTCTAACTGTCTTCCCTTTATTTGTGTCTGACATCTATATTTTAACTAGTTGTCCATAATTTATGCATTATTCACCATATGTAGAGAGTAAGTCATCCATTAATAAATGAGTAGTCTTTTGCAGCCTGTCCTGTCTTCATCTGCTCAATTTCCATATTCGCTCGCTCAGTTCATATATTCACATGAAGGTTTAAAATATAAATTTCCTAAATATATCTCGTAAAAATCTTTCCACGTTGTATTAACGTCTTTGGTCGACAGGAAATGTACTAAGTTAAATAGGTTAATAAATTAAAGTTACCTTTGTTCGATCATATTGCAGTCAGAAAACGGGCACTAAAAAGCAATTATTACGTATTATCTGTTTTGGACTATTTACAACCAACACCGAAATCAACTCATTGTCATGATAATTAAAATGGACCGTGTTAATAGAAACTTTCGTTATGATTCAAAACAACAACAGATTTTTACGCAGACTTTAAATTCATATTAAATTGCCAGCCCACTGAACTTCAATATAAGTAATGACACACGAGTAAACTAGTAACTAACAATAGTCCAAATATTTCAGTATACATACTAATTTGATCAAACAAACATCATTGAATCCAGTCGACATACTGTGTTTGTACTTAATCAGGGTGTAATGGCTTTGTTTCGTTAATCTATTACCCTCGTAACCGTTATTACATAAACTTCAACAGTGTTTCAAATCAGAAGGCAATGACAAGCGGTTACTACAGTTTATTAGCGGATAGCGCAGATCACAAAGCTATAAGCACATCAAGTGAATTTGAAACAGAGAAGTGAATATGTATGCGAGCAAATACAAAGGCAAATTTATAGTCAAATCGCATAAATGCACAGGAAGACAAAGCAAAGTCTAATAATAGGATTTACGTACATATATACATGGGGAGGATGACCCGCTATTCTCTATTATGTCAGTGTAAGATCCTGATTCATTCCCTTATTGTGTACAAACAAAAAACAACCATCATGAATTACACTTATACCTAGTAACAGTTACGTTATGAAAAACATACATATTTTGTAGGAATAACACCACATCCTTACTTTTCTGCACTCTTCACCAATATAGTTTACAACCTGCCTTTTTAATAACAATACTGCCATTTCGGTCATTACTTCCTAAAAATCAATACATAGATATTACTACAAACACTGGTTGGATTATATGTATATGGACAGTCACTCAAGATAAACAATTTTATACATATGAATATCGACTGTTTTCAAAAAGAACTCTCATATTGTTCTACCCTAAAAATTAAACTAGAACTAGCTTACTTTGAATGATATATTACTAACCATTAAAGTTAGTCACTCAATATACCAGAAGAGAGACAGTCATTGCTGAAAGTATTCTATGTTCGATGGGATATTTCGTCAACTGATTGAAGTTAGAAAAATGAATTATTTGAATGTCAACTTAGTGCGCGAAGCAGTTAAGACCATGCTACGAAATCTAAAGACCAAGTATGAGCACTAACCAAATTTATTCTCTGAAGAAGTGGCCTAAGCTAAGTCACGAAGCGTCGGAAAATCTAATTTTTCTACTCATTGGGATATTACAAATGTATTATTTATTAGTAACGATCATTGTTATAATATAACAATGTAAACAACTGAAATAGTAATCTAGAATCTGATAAAATATATATTATTATCTGAATTAAGAAATAATGTTATATGTACAGATGATAAGTCTTTACTCAATAATACAAGCAATGAATCTATTTTTCCCTCTAAAATAACTATTCCTAAATATAAACGTAGTTGGTAATATTATTCAAATAGTTTTAATTGATCTAACCCTATTACGAAATCAAAAGCAATACTTGCTTATTGTTGACTTTTTTTATGGATTAGGACAGCTGACAGATACATTCCAAGTAAGGAATGGAATCAGACAAGGCTGTCTACTCTCTCTCCCTCTCTTGGTGGTCGACTGGATTATGAAGACGCCGACATCTGAGGGAAAACATGGCATACAATGGACAGCTCAGAACCACTTAGATTTAGACTTCACAGATGACCTAGCCCTCCTGTCCCATACACACAAACAAATGCAGATGAAGACAGCTAGTGTATCAGCAGTCTTTGCATCAGTAGGCCTCATCATACACAAGAGGAAAGCCAAGGTCCTCAAATACAACACAGAAAACAATAAAATCACACTTGATGGAGAAACTGTGGGAGATGTGGAATCGCTCACGTATCTGGGAAGCATCATCGATAAACGAGGATGATCTGATTCAGACGTAAAGGAGAGAATTGTCAAAACAATGACAACATTCCTACAATTGAAGAACATATGGAACTCAAAACAACTTTCAACCAATATCAAAGTCACAATCTTCAATACGAACGTCAAGGTAGTTCTACTGTACAGAGCTGAAACTTGGAGAACTACTACAACCATCATCGAAAAGGTACAATTATTTATAAACAATTGTTTACGCAAGATACTCAACATCTATTGGACGGATACCATCAGCAACAGCCTTCTGTGGGAGAGAACAAACAAGCTTCCAGCTGAAGAGGAAATTATGAAAAGACGATGGAAATGGATAGGACATATATTGAGGAAATCATCAAGCTGCATCACGAGGCAAGCCCTAACCTGCAATCTTGAAGGTAAGCGGAAAAGAGAAAGGCCAAAGAACACATTACGTCGGAAAATAGAAGCAGATTTGAAAAGGATGAATAATAACTGGGAAGGGCTGGGAAGGACTGCCTAGGACAGGGTTGAATGGAGAGTGCTGGTGGGTGACCTATGCTGCTTCACGAAGAATAACAAGCGTTAGTAAGTATTATTAGATAATAAACATTGATGACTGAACGAATTCAATGTGACGAGGATTATCAGTACTATGTAGAGATATGTGATCGTATATATATGTATAAGGTAGATATGTAGCGAACGAAGAACTCAGGTGGAGAAAGTCAATTTACTTTTTAATACATAATTACAGAGTGCTTTCACAAAATATGCAAACCATACATTAAATGCATTATTTGCGCATTTTTCACCAATTGTTCTTCACACACTGCATTATTTAATTCTGTTGTTCTTTTGGTTGCTTTCCGTTCTCCGCCATGTTCCCCTTCGTTGCAATCTTCTGTTACCAGGCATTCCATTTCCGATTGGTGTTACATACTACTTATATCTGTCAACATAATTATCATACACTACAGACATATCTACAAAATCTGAAGGTTAAAAGGCAATCATTGTCTAGAATTCAAACATTGATTGCGCAATAATTATAAGACATTTGAAGAATGTACATAAGTTTGAACAATTCAGTAAATGAAGATCATTGTTGAATGAGAAAAAGCAATTCTTCAATGGATGAAATAATCATTAGTATAGCGAAGACTGTAAAAATTAATACAAACATTACTTTTAATTCTATAACTATTAGTAATAATGGAAGAAAATTCAACCAATTCGTCATGATAATGATAAATTGAGGAAGGCCAAAGAAGCAGATTTGAAAAGGACGAATTGAAACTGAGAATAACTGGAAAGGATTGACCAGAACAGGATTGGACGGAGAGTATTGGTGGGCTATCGATGCTCCTCCACGAGAAGCAACAGGCATAAGTAAGTCAGTTGTTATGGATTCGGCCAATAAACGTTTCATTTATTTTTAATAGTTGAATTCATGAGTCGATTAAAGCAAGACCACCATGGAAAACTTGGAAACACTGCACGGCCTTTCCTAACTTAGACATTACCATCGTTGGATGCTGGTCGGTTCAGTGGTCCAGAGGTCAAGCATTCGCCCTCAAGACCGAAGGTCCTCAGCTCATGTCTCGCGTGCGAGATCAAGTATGTGCACTGCTAAGTAATCCCATACTAGGACAAAAAGTTCATCCAGTGCTTCCAGATTTTCCATGGTGAGCTATCTTTAATCAACTTATAAATTCAACTAGTAAAAATTACTACAATATCCATAAATTCCCACTCTGATAAGGTTCATTTATTTATTCCTGGAATTTCTGTTTTTCTCCTCTCTCTCTCTCACACACACACATACACACTCTCTTTTTCCTCTCTTTACTTGTGAGTTTTTTTTAATGCCTGTCTAGTTAGTTATTTGTAGATAGATATATAAATTTTATGATCAATAATTTCTCAAAATAATCCAATCGACATGATTTCCCAAGGTCATTCCATTCAAAATTCAATCAACTCATCAAGTGAGTTTTAAGACCAATCCTACTCAAGTTATTTCAAATATAATTCACAATGATATAAATAAATAAATAAATGGATCATAAATAAAGAATGAATGGATTATTACCGCGGAAATTCTGATCTTAAATGTAAATCATTTCGGTGTTTGTTATCATTATTCTAATTATTATTATATTATACACTTGAAACAAAAAAACGATACATATGATGTAATCACTGTTTTTTTGTTTTTTTTCGTAGTTACTGTAATCGGAAATAATTTTTTTTTGAAAAAAACAAACTTAAAATAAAAATTATTGACGTTTCTTTTTTGTTTTTTTCTTTTTTTCTCTTCATTGTTACATTTACATATAAATAAGAATGAAACTATAGAAAATCGTTATGAATGCATCAATTAAACGTGAACGTTTAAAACCATTATCATCATCATCATCAATTCGTACAGCGACTATTAATAATCATAACAATCATAATCATAATCACTATAATATTGCTACACGTTTAAAAAGTCGTTTATGTTCAAATTCATGTTTAAAAATTGTTTATTTATCATGTGCTACATTAATATCAGCTAGTTTTATTATTGAATGTATATTATTACATTTAATAATTGTACCATATTTATCTGAATCAATATTTGAAGAAGGTATGTGTAAATATAGTAGTTCACGTCGAGATGATACAAATAAACGTTGTGAAAATAAATGTTCTAAAGAACGTTCTACATTTCCATGTTTACAATTAAAAGTAATATTTACACCAATACATATTATACCATATAAAAAATCAAATCAGGAATTAATTAATAAACATATAAATTATAAAAATCATTATTATATTAATAATAACAATAACAATAATAATAATAATAATATGAATCATATAGATAATTCATTTATATCTATGATAGATTATACTAATACCATAAATGATCCTAATATTATATCTTCTGATACATCTAATTATACTATATTTTATGATTTTGAATCATCAGAATCACGTATAGTTTATTTATATGATTATTTTAGTACATTTACAGCATATAAAACAAGTCGAGTAAGTTGGTTTATTATTGATTGATATCTGAATGTTTACAATATATGTTGACAGTATAGTTATGTTAATAATAATAACTATTATCATAAGCAAAGACAGATAGTGCCTAGCAGTGGAATTCAGAACGCGCGTTTCGCCCTATTTGGGACTCGTCAGCTGGATGTACCTGCATCTCAGAGTTGATGTTCACTCCGGGACTCGAACCCAGTACCATTCGCTTCAAACGCTAATGCGTTATCCACTTAGATACTGAGTCCTAATAGCCACATGCTTGTGTAACGGGATGAAGTTTAATTCACTTGGTATTGTTTTACCTGAATCTTCCTATTGATGTTTAGGACTGAAATTGATCAATCTCTTATTCACATAAGTGCATACTGTGTGTATTACCTCGATATTGCCCTAATTTATAAGCATTATTATCAGTATAGGGTTGTGAAAGTTATTGCGTTTTAATTGAGATCATAAACTGATCAATGTTAGACTATCATTAAAAATCTGGCAGTTCTACCGAGTCAGGTGTGAGTTGGTTACACATCGTAGATAGTGAAAGATGAATGAACAATATTGTAGATTGGATGAAGTTAGATATTAACAGTGTTGGATTCTGGATTAATGAACTAAAGGTTAAGTATTTTTGCAAGACAAATGTCCTTGGTTGAAGTTCTATGTTCGGGATCATGTATGAGCATTGTTAAAGAGTTCCATATTGAGACGAAACTGTGGTTCAGTGTTTTCAGATTTTTGATAGTGATCTAATATTGATCGGTTTATAATCTCGATTATTTTTATTATTATTTTCATTACTTGAATTTATTGTCCGTTACAATTTACAGGCTACTATGATAAGAAATTAAAGTCTGAAGTTAGAGTTAAATTCAAATCTAATATTATTTAAAACTTTCAGTTAACTTAGATCATTTAAACGTCAGGAAAGTATTTGTCACAAGTGTTTTAGTAAAGGTTGAACATTGAAGATTAAACTATATAAAAAAACACCTTCACTCCTGCTACGACTTATCCATCATTCGATACTTTGAATTAATTGAGAACGGTTAATGCTGTAAAGAAAAACCAATAAAAAATATCAACATAGGGGTTGTGAAGATTAAGTTTTTGATTGAGATCATGAACCGATTGATGTCTAACATCAACCAATCCACGAAATTGAGCTAACAGCATTGGATGCCGGCTCAGTGGTCCAGTAGATTAAGCGTTCACGATCGAGACTGAAGGCCCTGGGTTCGAATCCCGCGAGCGGGATCGTGGATGAGCACTGCTGAGGACTCTCACAATGGGACGAAACGACTAACCAGTGCTTCCAGGTTTTCAATGGTGGTCTAATATCAATCGGTTTATGATTAATAATTGAATATAATACTAATTTAATAAGTTTCTCATTTATCTAAAACAAAATACTGGTGAAATCACCTTATATAATTTTTTTACTTTTAAGAAGTAGAGTATTTTGAAAATTTAATAAATATCCCCATGAAATTTCCGTCTAAATTTTATCGAATAGTTTCTCAGTATTTGAGCGCCGATTTCATGTTAGACATTAAAGAGAAAAAATATATTTGTAAAATCTCAGCGAATGAATTTGAAGCAAATCCAACGTTTCGTCTGACAATCTGGTCCAAGCATTTCAGATTGTGAGACGAAACTTTGGATTTACTTCAAATTCTTTCGCTGAGATTTTACAAATACATTCTACCTCTGTAACCCTATGAAATGTTTATTTTCTTTTAAAAGTTATGTTATGTAAAATAATTATCCTTTTTCTGAGTATATAATCAAATCTCAATATTTAGTATCTTCAAACAGTTTTCCATTTATTTAATTCACCGGTGTAGCGTATAAGAATACAATTTTTAATATGAATTTCATTTTAGTCATCTAAGGATATGAGTATGGAGTGGAACCCTAAGTGGAAGTGATGTTCTTATTTGCAGAACATACTAAATAAACTAAACAAAATGCCAGATATTACAAACAGATTAATCATTGAGAGCCAGATGCTCTACAAATTTTCGGATACATATCTTATCTCGTCATGTGTGTAAATAATTTACCATGTAAGTAGATCACGATGTTCACCAAGCGTAAAACTATATTGTAAACGTACAAAGTACTATCATTTACTTAACAGTTAGATGTTTAGAATATTTATTCAGATACTCTTAATTATCAAAAATGCACTCACCATATATTATTTAACTCTGAGAGTCATACCGTATAATCTGGTACGTAATGTACATCGGTTCAAGTTGTCATACCTCATTAGCACACCAAGATGAAATTATTAGGTCAAATCCCAGAATAGTAGAGGTAGTAAAATTTTTAGCAATAATATGAAAGATTAGGCATCTGAGATACAACTCAAAAAGAAAATATTAATTGGCGAAATGTAAACGACTGATGTCATGTTTTGGTTTGACCACCACTAGCTTTCTTTCAGCCTGCTCCTTAACCAGAAAACGTTGCCCGTTGGGGTAGGTGTTGGTTGGGGATAGGTAAAACAAGTCCCGACCACCACAGTTAATGAAGATTTACCACCTCACCAGTCTATTTACCATCTTTACCTAGAACTCTATTCCTAACCCAGGCATTGCTTATTCCGTGGTCCCAAAATACATGAGCAATGCTTTGTAGACATCCATGGCCGAATATCAGTAACTTACGAATATCCTCTACTTTGAATAGCTGTGTTTCACATTCTTAAAGTAGAATGGGGCAAATAGCTGCGCAAAAACTTGTAGTTTGGTTGGAAGACAGATATCTCGCCTATGCCACAAGTGACCCAAGTTGGTAAAATCCTATCGATCGTTCTGAATCTGTGCCTAGTTTTCATCAGACACCAGACCATTGGTACTGACGAAACTCCCACGATAAATAAAGCGGTTAAATTGTCCAACTACTTCACTCCCAATAATTAATTTAGGAGATGATGTAAGCCAATCCCGAAATAACCTTTTGTCTTTAAAGAGAGAGAACCGCATCCCAAACATCCTTGCATTGTTGCTTACGGTGGTCAGAAGACTGCATTATGTCAACGTCTTCATCAAACAGAACTATATCACCTAAGTATTCCAAGTCAACAAGTGAGTCTCCTGGTAGAAGATCAATCTTTGAAAAGTTGGATGATGAAAGTGTTATTTCTAAAAGCATGTCTATGACGAAGTTAAATGAAAATAAGGAAAGCGGACAAACCTGACAAACACCGCTTGAAGTAACCAATTACGATGACAGTTCACTATAACTGCTCACCGGAACAGTAGCGTTCGAGTAGAGAGCCTGTAAAAGATTAATGTATTTCTTTGGTACGCCTTCCAATGACAGACAATGTCACAAAACCTCAAGATCAATGGAGTCAAACGTGGACTTAAGGTCAAGAAATATAACTTCAGTCGAACGTCGAGAAGTGCGTCTATATTCCATAATCTGCCGAAGAGTGAACACTTGATCTATATATCCACATCCAGGTCTAAAACCATTCTAGTTTCTTTGAGCTCGCTCTTCATACTCCCTAGTTAGACGCCGAAGTATTACTGAGGCTAATATTTTAGATAAGATCTTAGTTTAACTGATTCCCCTGTGATTGTTACAAGATAAGTTTTGTCCCTTCTTATAAACTGGGATGATCATCGATAGAGACCAGTCAGATGGGATTATGTATGATTTCTGGGCTCTAGCGAAGACCTTAGTTTATCCAACAACAAAGATTTGACCTCCATCCTTAAAAGTCTCAGGGGTTCGTCCATCAGCTCCTGTTCTCCTTTGCTTTATATTACTTACAGCCTTTTCAACCCCACTAAGCGTCGAAGAACTTATGACAGTTCGTCATTCAGGTTGCTTAGAGATAGTGGGTAACAGAAGGATGGCTGAAGGCTTGTTGAACTTTTGCCTAAAGTGTGCTGCCCGTTGGTCCAATCTCCTGGATTGACAGTGAACACGGCCATCACATCAAGGTATCAGAAATGGTCAGGATGTTGATTAAACATCCTTCATTATTTCATAATTAAGTTGAAAACTGTTGCATTTGTTAAAACGACGAGAAAAGGAAAGTTATATTTCTTCTCAATTAGTTTTCCATTATCCCAGTACACTTACATACGTATAAGTTTAACAATAATAATTAAATCGATAACAATCTACTAATAGTCTGTTATTTGATAACATTACAAAATTTGAAAGTTTGCATTCAGATAACTGCAAATGTTCAATAAAGTAATCTAAAGAATGGATAAATAAAGATATCAGTATCGAAGGGTACTTATTGACAAATGAATGAATTGAAGTATATAGTCATTGAATTGATGGATTTTATAATCTAATATAGATGGAAATTCGGTAACAAATCGAATATTAATAACAGTTAAAGAAGGAAAGTGATCATTACAGTTATGCAACACTAAAAACAGAGGGGAGAATTCAAAAACATCGGCAAAAAGTGAGTATATTTACTTTTGCTTAACTCACTCTGATATTAATATTTCAATGACTAAGGTAGGAAGAATGGTTGTATATAATTCTCATGTATCAGTTACAAGTGAATATGTAAAACATGTAACAACGTCAATGGAATCCTATGGGTAATTTGAAAGGCTTTCTTTACGTCCAATGCATGTCCTTTATCAATTAGATGAGCAATTAGAGAATTCTTAATTAACCTTAACTATTGTTTACTCAATCAGGTGGAATGATATTCGGAAATTTAATGACTGGACTTCCCAAACTGTTTATCCGATTCTGTATTTTATTGGTTATAAATAGCTTTCAAAGAAACTATTAACAAAGATATAAATAATATATAGTGTGCACTGTAAAATTAATATCCAAACTCCATTTTAGTTCAAACCCCCCTTCCCCTCCCCCCAAAAAAAATAATACAACCTAATTTTTCGCAACTGATTTTGTTGTTATGCTTTGATTTCTATAATTTTGCTAAAGTTTTGTCTATGATAATGGATTTAAGTCAAGAATAGTCATTTGACTATCTG